TTAATTAAACGTGTATGTGTTGCTTGTCACAGTTTAGTGAAACCAGTTCCTGGCTGTTTGGCCAGGATTAACACTTTCCACACCTAGTGAAGTGTTATGGGGGTATGTTTAAATAGCATGATGCAAACCGCCCCGATATGCTGTTGCAAAAGCAGTATTCTTTTCCAGCTGGCAGTGCTAGAGGTGCATCAAAGGACAGTACTAGGGACAGTGTAGTATGGCATAGAAAACCCGATCGCATACGATAATCGTGCAGTGTATGGGCACCTTTAAGGTGGCCATACACTCTACAACCATCGCAAGACTTTGGTCTTGCGATGGTTGTAAAGGGATTAAAAAAACGTACGATCTGCCTCTCTTGGACAGGCAGATCGCACTCTCGATCATCGCAAGCCCGCCCTCCTGAGGGGCGGGCTTCCGATGACCGCAATGCTGAACGGGCAGTGTGCGCGTGCGCACACCGGCCCGTTCAGCATTTATCTTCCGAGTACCGTTCTAACCAGCCGAGAATCGTACGATTCCCGACTGGTTTTCGAACATGCTGGTTCGACAGAAGACGTGCGACCGTACAGTAGAAACGGTCGCACGTCTCCGTTCACACTGCTCGATTATCGTACGATAATCGTGCAGTGTATGGGCACCTTTTTAGAGGCGGCAATCAGAACTGTAGCTCTTCCGAATTTAAAGCATGTTCGCTGGGAGATGTACTGTACATCCAGCTACATGCTGTCTTTTTTGATGGCTGCTTCTGGTTGAATGTACCAGGTACCGAGTCAGTGGAAGTCCAAACCACCTCTCAATTTTAAAGCAAAAGTGTGTTAATAATAATAATAATAATAGTATTATTATTCAGGATTTATATAACACCAACAGTTTGCACAGCGCTTTAGAAATGTAAGGAAGACCTTATAATCCGAATACAATTCAAGACAAGATGGTAAGGATGGCATATTGTAAAGCTAGCCATACACTGCTCAAATTTCAGCCAATTCCATATAAATCAGCCAAAATGTAACCCGACTTGACAAGACCGATTTTAAAAACTACTGAGTAGGGTGGAAAGGTCTTTGCCAAACAGACTGCATGCTGTCTCGGGTATTCAGGAAGCCAAGGGGTATCATGGCTGCTTGTATACAATATCTGACAGAAGATGTTCCTCCATCCATGACATTTAGCGTACATGGGGGAGAATTGATTTTCTCTTGATCAGCTCACCGGCTGAGCAGAAATCTAAATGAGTATGGCTAGCCTAAGATCCTCCCCAGATGCCCAGTCTCAGCAAAAGCTCCACAGTCCTGCAGAAAAAAAAACTTCTCTCTACAAGCTTGTTAATTCAGTCTTTACCAAGACCACAGATGATGGGGATGCAGACTGTGCTTAGTAAAACACGAGCCCTAAAAACTGCATGCACGTTCCATACACTGGCTCAACCTTTTACAAAGGTATCTACATATATTCCAAAAGGGGTGGCACAACGTCCTCGAGATATGTTGTTCTGTAAATGGCTAAAGGGCGAAAAACGTTTCTGACACGGACTTTTCACACCATTTTGCTTGACAATCGCTGTTTCTCTGACCCCTTTTGTGAAGTTTCTGTCTGGGTGTGTTTTTATTTTTGGTGGCTATACTGAGGTTTTTACTAAAAACAAAGGGTATTGGAATATCTGTAAACTGGACAGGTAGCAATCCCAAGCCTTGCATTACCTGTTTGTAGAATCTGCCCATGATTGTGCAAAGCTCTTGCTGTTGGTAATCAAGGATTAGATGCTGGTTCCCAGATGTTGGCGTACTTTTTATTATCCGACAAACCTGTGCCTTTTAAACATGGTTTCATCATAAAAACCTGACTCTTTAGGACCCATACACAGGAAAAAGAGGCAGGTAGGAGCAGTCTATCTTCTACACCGAAATAAAACTAGTTTTGTTACCCTCTCTCCTTTGGGATTGTCTCATGGCTGTCTGCTGCTGTTATCGCCTTCTAGCTAAATGCCCATGAGGTTTCTGTAGAACCTCTCTAACATGGATCATCAGGGAATGCATTATTTGAATAAACAATTTTTATTTTTGTTTTGTCTTGATGTCTATATCTCAATCTGTTTATTAGATTGTTTTCCTAACCTTCTAGAAGTGTGACGTTCATCTGATTTATATGTTGATAATTCAATGGATTGGACGCACATTAGCTACTGAAGGAAAGTCTGACAAAAATACATTCCTTTGAAACCACAAAGGTTACAACTTTTGAAATGGAGTGAAATGTAGGTAAAAAATGAGAGCTCCACTGCATTGGTAAAAAAAGGCCAGCTAATTTTTTATTGTACGAGAAAAGAAGCCAACATGTTTTGGGGGCTCAAAACTCCCCTTCATCAGGGCTTGGGAGAAAACATGTAAACCAGTTTAAGATTACATGAATATAAAAGTTCAAAGATGTACATAATAAGGCCTTTTTCACACAGGAGTGTTGCCACGTACAGCGTAAAAGGTCGGTTTTTGATGCGCCTGGAGCTGCCGTAAGAAGTGTGCGGGCAGTTCATGTAACTATGAAAACACAGGAGCGGTGTGCCCCCTTTTTTTTTTTTTTTTTTCTGCAGCTCCGAGTTTTGATCGCCGCAAACAAATGGTGTATGGCCTGGAACACACAGGATGCATTCAGATCTGTACACCATATTTTGTGTGGCTGTCAAAATTCAGGTTCCTGTGTCTACATAGTTAAATAGGCTGACAGTGCTTCTTCCCACAGTCCTGAGCACACCAACAACTGGCCTTTCACCCTGCACGGAGCAACATGCCCATGAGAATGAGGCCTTAAGAGAATTATCTCAGATGGATAATAAAAGGTATATGGTAAAAATTAGGACAAAACACACAGTACAAAAAAAATATGTGCTAACGAGCAGTTTATGAGGGCATTGTCTTTCCTGGAGCAAGGCGCCACTTTCTGGTGGTTTATCCCTACAGACAGGGCTTCCATTTCAGGCACCTGAAGGCACGAATGGAAATCTGTTTAACCTGAGCCAGCACCCTTACCTGCTGTAGGACCCGGCGGCTTTACCATATGCAGAGAAGGACCCTGTGATGTGTGAGGCTGCCTTAAACGCCTGTCAACATCAGCCTGGCATTTTACAGGACAGCCTGACATAGCACCGGGGTCCTTCCCCCAGTGCTTGCTGAAGCTTGTGGTTCCTGTAGGAGCTGCTGGTCTTGGAGCATTAGGGTGTTTTTTGTGCAGAAGGCACCCTCCTTGCTATTGCCGGATTTGTATCTTGACACGACACGGGGAATTAGGCAGAGTAGGTACCTGCACGGCGCCCCTCTGTGGAGGGCGTCTGTAGGCACATGCCCACTCTGCCTAATGGTAAATCTGGTCCTGCCTACAGCATCTTACCAGAAACTGAAATATCCCTGTTTGGTGTTCTAAATCTTCAACTGACCTCAGAAGCCCAGTTACATTTGCCCTGTTTATGTATTTGAAACAATGGCTTTCTGAATAAAAAGTTAACAGGAAATTGAAAAACTGAACCCAACATGCAGAAAATAATGACTTCTGCTGTGCAACTCAAACTTTGAAAACCAAAATCATTCCGAGGAGCAAACCTCCAAAGTCAGGAACAGTTGACAAATGTTGTGCGAGGAGAAGCTGGTTTTAATTTTATTTTTTCACAATTGGTCACAAACTGACTAAAGGGAAGTACGCCCCTGACTACCAAAAGAAACGCACTACTTTTAGTATGCCAAGTCTTTGATAAACTACGAGTGATGTCAGAATGTTTCCTGTCAGACTAGAAGGTTGTGTACAAGTCTGGTCACCATTTGCATGTCATGTGATATTTTTTTTTTACAAAGCTTAAAATGTTCTTCTCCTCCCTAAAATAGTCAAGAGATGAGTAACTCTTCTGTAATGCTCCACCCAACGTGAGTCAGAGATGCATTCCTGTGTGTGGTATCTGTTCACCGAGAAATCAGTACAACTGACTCTTGTCTGATGATGTACTGCAATTTGCAGCTAGTCTCATCTTTAGTCATAAAACATTTTTTTTGTCAAACGGAAATTCGGTGAACAAGCTGAAACCCTAATCGAGTCCTGTAAAAGCAAGCAATTATATGTTATGCATTCATTTTTAAAGCAGAACATTGTTAGACCAGCATATCTTTGTATTCCATGCTTTGCTTCAGATCCTTTTATATATGCATGCAGTCAGGGGGCTCTGTGCTGTGCTTCTAGGAGCAGGGCTCGTGCTGTACATCTAGAAACTGGTCTCGTCGTGACCTGTGCTGTGCGCGTCTAGGAGCAGTGCACATTGGGACCCGTGCTGTGCGCGTCTAGGAGCAGTGCACATTGGGACCCGTGCTGTGCGCTTCTGGGAGCAGTGCACATTGGGACCCGTGCTGTGCGCTTCTGGGAGCAGTGCACATTGGGACCCGTGCTGTGCGCGTCTGGGAGCAGTGCGCACGGGGACCCGTGCTGCACAATGGGCACCAGGGTTATGACCAAGGGACATTCCACAGCCAGAGCAGAGGGGGAGAGAGGTGAGCACTCACGGACATGGGATTGAGGCTCCGGTAAGTGTATCTTCCTAATTCTGGGCCCTGGACCGAAACAAGTACGTAACCCTTGCAGTGCGGGGGTAGCCCCAATACAAAGGTTAATTTTAAAATGCCCGGCGTTCTTCTTTAAATGGTTAACACTGTTGTCTTGCAGCATTGGTGTCGTGAGTTTGACGTTGCTTGTGTTTGTATGAGTAACTAAGTTGTTAAATGATGTTTCTTTGGGGACATGGACTGATTTGAATGGTTCTTTATAAAAAACACTGGATCAAGACACAGAATGCAGCATACAGGACTTTACTGATCACATTAGTGTGGTCAGGTCTTAATGAGAATAATGCATTTTGTCTTGCCCATCCACTTTGCCTGTGTTTTGTCTATGTACTGTATGTGTTTTTTGCTTTTCGTATAGAAAGTATGACATTTATATTCTCTTTTTTTTCCTCCTATTTACAGGTGACGATTTTGATTTGGGCGATGCTATAGGTAAGTGTGAAATACTGTAATGAAATGGCTAGTAGTAAGTAGGTACTCTAGATTAAAAAAGGCTTGGGATTAGAACGTCATGGATAAGTCCTATTTAGGCACATCGTTAACTGTGTGTGTTGTTTGGGTCGTTAATAATTCCCATACCTTTTTTATATACTGTGAAGATATCTATGAGCTTTTTTTAAATTCATAAACGCTATTTAAAAAGTTTGGACTGCCTTTTGTCCATAACACATTAAATTCCACTAATGTCGCACAGTAGAACATTCTTAAAGGAGAACTATGGGGTAACCTTTTATCCCCTATACCTCTCCTTAGGGTCACGGAAGGACACCGCCTCCCATGACCCAAAACTCAGTGTATAGCGGTCTATTGCTCGCTTTATGCTGAGAGCGCTGCAGCCGGGATGGATCCAGGCATTACAGTCGAGATCCACCCAGCTGTGTCTGCTTATCTAGATGCAGAGTCAGCTGTGCCCGCCACCTCCCCGTCCATTCCTCCACTCGGTGCTGGAGGATCAGAGACGGCGCAGGGGCAATGCCTGCAGGGAGCGGTGACTGACACTCACTCCTCTCTGCAGGGAGAGGATCATGAAGGGAGCGGAGCGGCGGTATCTATCCGCTCACTTCACGATCAATAGAGCCAACCTGTGACAGTTTTTTTTTTTGTCCCAGATCGGCTTGAATTATGAGGATGAGTGTTTTTGTTTTTATCACTTTCCCCATAATGCTCCTTTTTAAAGGGACACTAAACTCAGGAGTTAAAGCAAGTACCTTAACTATTTACAAAAATGTATCTTATTTGTGTATCACTCGGCTGTAGATCCTCAAATCATCTCTGAATTGGTGCTGACACTGTCCTTCCTTCTGGAGGGTGGCTACTTTTGTTCCTCATGGTCCCTGTGTGTGTTGTAAAGTAGCCACCGCTCCAAGCTCACTCCTGTGATAGACTTTAATTTCAATACAAATTAGACTACAATCTACGTTTAGTTTACTATCATGGGAGTGAGCTTGGAGCGGTGGCTACTTTAGAAGACGGGGAACAAAAGTAGTCACTCTCCAGAAGGAAGGACAGTGTTGGTACCAATTCAGAGATATTTGAGGATCTACAGCCGAGTGATAGACAAGTAAGATACACATTTTGTTAATAGTTAAAGGAGAACTATGAGGTGAGGGATTTTCACTCAACCTCCTAGTTTGAGCCGACCTGTGACAATGCAACTCACAGGTCGGCTCTATAGATCGGGAAGTGAGCGAACGCATACTGAGAGAAGTAGCATGTATTTGACCCACCCAGATGAGTATATTACCTGTGGTGGCCAGGGAGCAAAGCTGCAGCATTTAAAGACAGAGGTCCTGGGGAAAAACAACAATCTCATAGAAGGTTTGACCATGTTAAAGTATTGTCAACAGTTGTCAACCTTTTTAACCACTTGCCTACTGGCATACGTTTTGAAATGGTGGGTTGGGGGCTGTGGTATTTTGGAGTGCCATTTTTAAAAGAGCGCACTGTGCTCTTGTCTTTTGATTGCGCTGTCGTCAGAAAGTTTATCGGAGGCAAAATGCACAGAGCCATGGTACTTGTTACACCTTAAAAATGCCAACATTGTCTCTGTGGCAGAAAGTGAAGGAAAATCTTCATTGGTTACAGAGTGCATTGAAAAGTCAACAACGCTTCTAGCTTCCCTTACCCTACAAAAAGCTTTTATTGCAATGGTCTCGGTTTTGGAAAGATTTCCTATCACTTACTGTCCTGATGCCAACATTCTACACGACATATTTCAAATCTGTTGATCCTTTACTATTTTAGGTAGACCCTAAGGTACTAAAATACCAATAGTACTAATTAAAGCTGTGAAATTCCACATCTGTAAAAATAATGCGTTTTACTAGCTATTTGGCAAATCTGATTTGTGCAGGTCAATGTAGTAATTTTTTTTTTCTTCCACTACTTTATATAGATCCTGATCCCACAGGTAAGCTGTAAATTGGTAAATGTATGTATTTTTTAAATGTGTTTTTCTGTGCATTGGGGTTTTGCACCTTTTTTATAGGGCCCATACACACCAGCAAGTCAAGATAATCCCACAGCTGCTGGTGTGCATTGACAAGCCCAGTGCTGTTGTGCCATCCCTGGCACATTGCACAGTTTACTTATGTTCTTGTTTAGAACGTGACTTTTATTAATTTCATGCAAATTGCATTGTCTATGTTTTGGAGCTGCGCTGAAGAAAACCCCCAAAAAACAGCAAAGCCTCAACACTTCTGGTGTGACTGGGCCCTCAGAGTGCATGCGAGATGGCTGGTACATTTGGTTGTAAACATAGCCTGTATTTGCTGGGTGCTATGTCCCGGAACCCGGAATGACGA